GAACCAATGTGTAGAATGGGTAAACCCTTACCATTGCCAACGTGAAGGTTGTCCTCACCGTAGTAGGCCTCAGAGTTATCGAAGCTAGATAGGTCCGGTGCAACATGATGGCTAGAGCCTGTATCCGGAAGCCAAGCTTGTGACCGGTAATTTGTAAAGTTGGCAGAAGGTGGTTGTCTCGTCCTCATAGGAGTAGGGTCTCGATTGGGGCAATGAGACGGGATATGACCAATCCCACACCTGCTGCATGTGCCAAAAATAATGTTTTGATTAGAAGCCCAACTAAATTGATTACGGTTACCTCCTCCTTGACTTCTGTTGTTGTAGTTTCCTCGTCCGCGTTTAGAATCACGTCCATGGCCACGGTTATTCCCAGATCTGTTGGTGTAAAAGGCATGTGCAGGCTGTGCATTAACAGGCTGAACTTGAAGACCAAGTTGTGACAGAAGTTGTTGAATAGCTTGAAGTTGATCCGGTTGAGGAGTAGACGAGGTGGGACCAGGAACCGCTGAGTTGCGGTTGTTCGTGACAGTCGAGAATGCTTGAGGCGGAGAGATGTCAGTTGCAGATTGTTTGATCGTGTAGTCATGGTCTGATAGCAGGCCATGAAGTTCTGCAAAGGCAGTTGGGAATTGGCGACCAAGGAGTGTTGACTTCAGCCCGTTGTATTCTTCTCTAAGACCCGAGATAACCAACATCACCAAATCTTTTTCTTTCATTGGTTCGCCTATATTGGCGAGAGCATCAGCATATTCTTGAGCCCTGGTCAGGTATGCGGAGGAGGTTTCAGCAGGCTTCATCTCTAGTTTAAGAAGCTGAGTTTTTAGGGTGTATTCCCTAGATGATGTGTGAGGAGGGTAAGCACGTTCAAGAGACAGCCAAAGATCACGAGAGGTAAGTCCTTGAACGTGTTGGAACGACGCCTCAGAGATTGTAGAAATAATCAGCATCCGTACATGAGCATCATTGGAAACCCATGCTGTGTAGTTAGGATTCGGTTGTGGTGGGGGCACTGTGGTGCTGTCGGCATCTTTTCCAGATGATGATGATGATGAGATAGTCATCGGTGGACAAGGAATGGTGCCATCAACATAGCCGAACAAGTTGTTTGTGACAAGGAACGGTTGAACCATTGTCTTCCAATAGCCATAGTTGTTTGGTGATAAAGTGAAGCCAAACTTGTGGGAGTTATGGGTGATTTTCTCGGTTGGAGTGAAAGCTGCAACAATTGTCATTGGACAGAAGGTGAGGCAGCCGTAGGGTAGAAGACGGGTGCGGTAGCTTTAGGGTTGCCTTGTGATGGCAACGGTAGGGAGACGGCAGCGGTAGGGCAGCAGCCGTAGGGCAGCAGCTGTAGGGCGTTTAGGGCCGGCTATGGTAGGGCGACAGCGGTAAGGCAGCAGCCGTAGGGCGTTTAGGGCCGGCTCTGATACCAAGATAAACTTGGTAATTGTGTGTGTATACCTTGGTTTAAAAATGCGTGCATTATGCGCTCTGATGCGCGATGCGCTCTGATGCGCTGGACAGAACGCATCAAAGAGTCTGATGCGATGCGATTCCATGATGCGAACGCATCACCTATGCATCACACGATGCGTGCATCACTTAGGCATCAGCGCATCATGTATGTTGCGTTTTGGGCTCCCTTTTTCAGTGTTTACTTGGGCTTTTTAGTTGGGCTTTTTTTAGTTGGGCTTCTTAGTTATGTAAAATAGAACCTGAGTGACTTTTAGCGATAGAACGTGGAYTGACTGTTAGCGAGTAGGGAAGCGACCTAATCGATAGAACTTAGAAGCCGACAGCAGTATTGCAGTAGTCGATACTCGATAGTCTATACTCAATACCAGTGGTCCAGCAGCAGCAGCAGCAGCAGTAGTCGATACTCGATAGTCATACCAGCAGCAGCAGCAGCAGTAGTCGATAGGCGGTCCAGCAGCAGCAGCAGTAGTCGATAGGCGGTCCAGCAGCAGCAGCAGTAGTCGATAGTCATATGTCATACCACCAGCAGCAGCAGTAGTCGATAGTCATACCATGTTGGGGTTTGATGATGCTGATCTTGGGGAGTATTAGTTGGTCACTTGGTTGGTCACTTGGTTGGTCATTTAGTTTAGGGATTAGGACTATTAGACATTTACTTGTGTAATTGTGTTCTTCATGGTAGTAGTTTGTGTGTTATGTACTTCTGTTATTTTGATTCACGAACTTTTTAAGATTCTAATGCCACTTTTTTAACTACTTTATGTTATAAATGAAGTATTTTGATAGGTAAGTATTTTTAAGGTAGAAATTGATATGTAGAATTAATTTATAAATATTTTTTGAATACCGGGCGCATCACGTGCGTGATGCGAGCGCATCAGCATCACGCATCACGCATCGGGTTCCGGGACCCTTAACGCATCGGACCGCATCGCGCTTTTTAAAACCAAGGTGTATACCGATTACAATCAGGGATATATATAAGAGATACATTTACACTCTAGACCCTCTAATATAATTATATATATATATATATATATCACACTTAATTGTCTAATACTTGTAAAGAAGTTAATATATTTCAAAGGCATTGTAGAAACATAGTTAAGGGTGCTTGTTTTGTCTTTTTGAAATATTATAATCTAGGAAGCAGGGGTGCATTTGGATCCCCATATCAGATGCTTTTAGGGTGCAGTTCTTCAGGGGTGTGGTAATCTGGGGCACCATATCCAGTTTAAATGTATCTGGTTTTTTTGACCAAGAACACAGGACACAAGAGGGGCAACATTGATAAAATCTTGATCTGAGGGGGGTGTTTGTTTAAGAATGAAAATAAAAATGACAGGGAATGAATTTTCATTCCCTCAGTTTAACCTGAAATGAAAATTTTGGGCTTTTGGGGGAATGAGCCCATTATATTATATAAAACCAAACAGTTTTTTTTTTCATTCCCATTGATTACCGCATAATATCTCTAACCGAACATCCCCTGAGTTTTTGACCAAGAAAATGGAGATAAGAATCTAAAAGTCTGAAGTAAGCTCAAATATTATGGTTATGAGAAAAAGAAGACAAGACAAGACACAAATTCTTATTTATTTATTTCCCGACGGTGTTGACTAATATAGGCACACTAATTCATAGTAAAATCAACTATAACGCTTAATCTTAAATATGTGTTAATGGTATACATTTAGAGCAAATAGGATTTTTCTTCAATTCGTTTAGTTATAATGCACACTATAACATGAATATTTTGGAATTTTCAAATCTTAGTAAGCAAGTTTCACGTCCTCATGTTCTCGCCATCTGTATCCTTGCAACATAGTACGGTATCATGTTCTAGGAGCAAGGGGTAGCTAAAATATTATGAGGACCAAGGGATAACTAAAATCCAAGTTCTTTTACTTGTTTGCTCACCCAACCACTACTTAGTATACTTGGGCAATGCAAGTGGGCCAAATGGCCACTTACTGATAACAAGTTAACTAGGTCTAGGATGGCTTCTAAGAGAGTTAACACCTGGAAATTTTGGAATCAGTTACAAAGGATCATTGGCCCAGTAGTATCCAACCTCCCTAGAGGTCCGAGGTCAAGGGTTCAAGCCTCAAAAAAGAAAAATTGGAATCAGTTTTGGTCAAGCTGGCAAGCTAGTGGTTACATATAGGTGTGCATTAGATGATTATTCCTTATATCTTGTTCTTAATTCATATAGTTTTATTTTGGATTCTTCTTTAACTTTTTTTGTGGAAATAGAATTGACATCATAGATAAACTAGTATACTTGAAGCATGATCTAAGTCAATTGGAAATTTTGATTTCGCAGTATTTGTTCTTGTCATGTGTGGTGAATTAGTTAGAATAAACGGATCTGAAAAAAGATTAACCGAATAGCAGCTATTTGATGCAAATAAATTACTAATTTAACTTTTGTGTTGTATGTAACTTCAAAATTTTGTATTGCAGAAGTTGCTGTTGGTAATATTGTAAGGCGTGTACTCCATATAATTAGGGAGGAAGATCTATCACTCACAACAGCTTCTATTGGTGGATTGAGCTTACACCCCATGAGTGATGATGAAGATAACGTTGACCCAGATGATCTATCAGCTGCTGCTGTTGCTGCTGCGGCCAGAAGCACCCTGAGAGCTCCTTCCTTGCAGACCCTTCTTGAGGGCGTGCCTCACTCTGCACCTCTTCATCAGTCTTCATCTTCTGCTGGTGATTCTGAAGAAAAGACCAAATGTTAGCTCTTGGATATCTCTACGCACTTAAATGATCTAGTTGTAGTCTTACTGTTGAGTCTGATTACACTGCAGCTACTGATAAAAATTCAAGGAGTCGAAAGCTAAAGCATCATGTGATTGAGACTGTCAATGAGCTTATTCGAGATATTACCACCTGTCATGAGCTGATAGCAGAGCAAGCAGTGGAGCATATTCACCATAAGTATCTTTTTTTGCTTTCACTATTATTTCTATATTTTCTCTACAAAGAATGAAATGGTCATATATACCCTAGAGTTAAACCCCCTGGATTGCTATTACACCATGTCTACCAATACAAATCTGAAATGTATATTGAGAATGCTTGTCTACATAGAGATGACTGGTGATACCACATTTGTTGAGCACTCATGGCCTTAATTATGACAAGCTTCACCTTGAACCCTATTCTTTAAAGGTGTCTAAAACCCACCAACACTATTGCCAAACTGTGTAGTTCATCTATTATGTCCATACATGATGACCCATTGATTTGTTGCTTCGGTTCTCTTATGCTTTGTTCATCTGTATTGCTGTGCTGTCACATTTGATGCTGTTTCACATTGATTCTGATCTTGAGGTAAAATTGGATCTGCCTTGGGTATTTGTGACAGTGGGACTGGGATCCATACAACATTCCGTAGAGACCAATTTGTTGTCTAGCGTCATCTGTTGCTCAATCACTAAAAAGCACATGTACACTATCTTTCATGTCACATGCCTGTAGTGTTATAGAGACTTAACTTGAATTCCCACATTTACATCTTACGTTACCTGCTAGAAGATGTATGATGAATTAAAAGTGTCAACCCCATGTATTTTAAATACCATCAATGACGCATGACAAGCTTGCAATACCCAATTTCATTGTACAAATGTACATCCTCCTGGATGACGCCCCATGCAATCTCTCTGATTTTTTATATCACCTCCTAAAAATGTTTTCGTTTGACGTGAAGCCATAAGCTCTGGGTCAAACCATTCAACTTAAGAAAACTCAGGTAGGCTTCTACCAGAGGGAAATTCAATGAAGACATTTCACTCAACTAACTTCAAATTTACCGTTACATTTCATTCTGTATGAAGTTATACTCCAAAAACTCAAATTGCATTATTTATTTTCACAGTCACCATGTTTTTCGACGAGCTTGGGATTAAATGAACTGGATATTGGTTGACTGACTTTGTTTGCTGACAGAGTTGGGTGGCCTACCTCAGCTGCATACATGACCCATTGGTCTGCCTTTCATGTTACACGTACTGCCATGCACAAGTGCACTCGTACTTACAATAGATATTCTATTCCAAACAATGTGTTATTGTCTGAAATGTATTGCCTCCATCACTGCAGCAGACAACCATCAATTGTCAAGAATGTGATAGACCATACATCTGGGTTGTGGAAAATAGCTTCACTTTGGAAGCATTTGGGTTTTGCTTCTTTATATGTTCAGGCCCATAAAACCAGCTTGTGAACACTTGGAGATCCCAACATCTCGAATAGTTGGAATTTATTCCAATTTGATTCCATTCATATCTTTGTTGAGATGACTCTCAACCCCATAACACACACAATGTACTTTAGACCCATTAGCAAATGTAAAGAATCCTTTACAACGAATTGACAGTAAGAGTGATCAATCTTGGATCATATATTATATAGTTTGATTTACCCGGTGCAGGATCCCTTACCCTATTTACCAACAGCATTGAGCGTATTTGGTTTTCATCTGCTAATTAAATGATGTCTAAGTTGTTTTACCAAAATTGATTCAACATGTTCAATTGCTAAATGATATGCAGTGAGGTTATATTGACCTTAGGCAGTTCGGGAACTGTAATCGAATTTCTTTGTGCCGCTAAGGAGAAGAAAAGATCGTTTCGGGTTTTTGTAGCAGAGGGTGCTCCAAGGTTTTTGTTTGACACTATTGTCTTTTACAAGCGTAGGAAGTGGCAAAATATTTTCATGCTTTATTTTTGTACAATCCCATGTAGATATCAAGGGCATACTCTTGCAAAGGAACTGGTTGCTAGGGGACTACAAACTACAGTAATCACTGATTCTGCTGTATTTGCCATGATTTCACGTGTGAACATGGTATGTCACCAACTTAATTGCTTGTTGGATGTTTCTGTCTTGAGTCTGATTTTGGAATTATGATAGGTTATTGTTGGGGCCCATGCTGTCATGGCTAATGGTGGAGTGATAGCTCCTGTTGGTTTAAATATGGTTGCACTAGCAGCTCAAAGGCATGCTGTCCCTTTTGTTGTTCTTGCGGGCATTCACAAGGTAACTGTGCATCACCAGTACATAATTAGTCCGGTATTACTGTAAGTAGATTGGTCTTCTATGACATGGAATGGATTGAAACATTTGATAGTATTAGGGAGGGCGGGGCAATTTACAATTGAGTGCAATGTTATGTTAATTGTAACAAGGGGCTGTTTACTACCTGCTTACCGCCTCTTACCTGGTAAGCTAAGGGAGGAGGGACTCCTACCTTGTTAGCGCCTCTTACTGGTCTGTCATCAGTTGGCACTTAAAATCAAACAAAGGAAATTTCCTTAAGGTAGAATGTCAGTATGAAAAATTATAATTTGAAAAAGCTTTTTGAGTCCTTCGATACCTTGTATAAATTTAGAGCCCTGTATTCATATCCAGGATCATAACTTCTATTGCCATACTCTTACTCTACTCCACATTAAATTATGATGACCAAATACAACTCCTAGTTGTGAACAGCATATAGAAGAGACAAACTGCTCTTCTACATATTCTTTGTGATATACTACGTTTTTGTTTATCTTTTTCTTTCCCTTCCAAATTTAGGGCATTGCTAGGCGTGACATAGGCTTAAGTAATTCATTATAGTTGTTAAGTTTTCAAGTCTAGCTCCAGGATCTATGATGTACTCTATATGTTGGTATCTTTTTCTAGCATGGTTTCGTAGAAAGCTATTTAGTAAACCACTTGGCTTTTAATATGAATCCTGACCCTAGATCAGCCATCATTCACCACAATCCTGAAATTGCTAACTGTGAAAACCCAGTTGCATMATTGGTTTTMWACTGTTTTGGTTGTGATTTCTCCTCTCATAGTTTCTATAGCGTGTGATGTTTATGGTGATACTTTGGTCTTGACTTATTATGATTTGTGTGGTTGTGATTCAGACACTCTTTGACAACATGTAGTATTGGCAGTTTTGGTATTACTATTTTATTGCAATTCTACTACTAAAGTTAGTTCTTCTCTTCAGGAAACGACAATCCAATCTCATTGATAATGATCAATGACATTTAAAAGAAACTGATGGCAACTTTCTTTCAATTGTCTAATTGTTGTTTTGACAGTTGTGTCCCTTGTATCCTCACAACCCACAAGTGTTGCTGAATGAGCTCAAGTCCCCATCTGAGTTGCTGGACTTCGGGGAATTCTCAGATTGCATGGATTTCGGTATTGCCTCCGCTTCTCCTCTTCTTCATGTTGTGAACCCTGCGTTTGATTACGTGCCACCAAAGCTCGTCAGCCTATTTATTACCGACACGTAAGTTGCTATTTTCTGTCTACAATTTCTCATCTTTTGCTGCATAAAACCTTAACCTCAACGATATCTAAATCAACAACTTATTTACATTCTGCCGTATATTTTGAATATCAAACAGTTTTTGTGCCACTATTACCGTATTTTGATCCTCCATCCCATCCTAAAATGTATAAGCGTCCACATTTATTTCCAATTCTACCCATAACTCTGAGATGGAGAAATTCATAAGTTATTAAGGGTAAAATTGTCATTTAGTTAATTAATGAGTGTGATAATTATGCATTTCTAAATGTGTGCCATTTTCATTGTTGACATTTGTTTCTGGGATGGAGGGAGTAATTGATATTTTTGGCAAGATTTATACTAGTAATCACCCAATGTCACAAATGTTAGCATATGTCTCTCTCTTTCTATTTCTTTTGATATTGCTTACTCCTATCTAGCTTCCCAATTTTTTGCATATCTGTATATTTCCATTTCACAAACTTTTTACTAGCCGGGGGTAACAAGCGCTCCACTCTTTAGGGTAGAGGTCAGCTTTGCATACATCTTACCACCCCAAGACCCCACCTTCGGGTGGGATATAATGGGATCGTTTGGTATGGTCTAGTATTCACCCTTATTTTCCTTTGCAGCGGAGGGCATAATCCTTCATACATGTACCGCCTCATTGCAGATTACTACTCTGCTGATGATCTGGTTTTGCAACAGCGGCCTACTTCTTGAGATTGGTTTGCCCATATTTGCTTTTGATTCTTGAGTAAGTCACTCTTGTGCCTGATCTTGGTATTATGTTGAAATGACAGATAAGAGCATCTCCAACAGATTCTCCAAAATGGAGAAAATGGAGATTTTGATGTTTTTAGGTGTCTTTTTTGCTCCAAAAGATTTTCAAAAACATTCTCCAAAATGAAGAAAACAGGAGAGAGATGATAAAAATCTCCAAATTTGGAGAACACTCTAAAATTAAATGTTCAAGAGATTTTTTTTTGTCATCCCACCAGAACAGAACTCCTTGAACCTGCCAAAAAGATGTCCCATCCCCCTTCCCAGTCCCCTTCCCTTTTTCTATTCTCAGTTTGCTAGCCATGTCAAAGATTTATCACTCGAAGATTTCCATTAATCTAATTTATATAAACTTGGACCACTGTTCTTCAATTTTTCCAAATATTTTCTAGGCGGACTGTTACTGGGCCGGTAATTTTTTTGACTAAATAAAGCCCGGATTGGGCTTATTTTGGACTGTCTTGTCCAGATGGTTCACCAAATCAGATTCTTAGGAGCAGTCCGGACCGATCCATACCCATCTTTATGGATCGGATTGAACATGTCTTGTTCCATGTTTGGCACGACTTAGGCCTGGGACAAAAATGAATTTTTTTTTGTCTAACCAAGAAGGGTGGGATCAAATAGGAAATATAATTGCTCTTATTAGAACTTATTTGGGAAAAAATGGTAATAATTATTTCGTCAAGTTCAATCTTGTTTGTCAGGTCTAGTCCATGTGCTAAAATGCAGCCTAAAGCCAGATATGCCTTGGATTGTAAAGATTGAGAACTTGGTACCTAAGATTAGTTGGGACAGAGCTCGGTCTACTTTTGCATGCCAAAAATTGAGAGATTTAGGGTCCTTGTTAGCGAGCCATCATTCTTCCCTAAGCTGCCAAAGTCCGATCGAAGATTCAAACCCATTTTTGTTACGACATGTTGAAAGTAGTCGTTGAATGAACTTATCGTTACTCTCTTCACCTATGCTGTGCAATACACCAGTTCTTGTGTAGATAGATATTATACGATATAGTATTATAGAAGTTTGAGGTAATAACAGGTTTGTGATGTTCTTGGATGTTTTGGGTCATGTTTGTATTCAACGGGTAATCTATCAAATTTCATCGTGATATGGATCGATCATTCAATTGTCAGCTGTGAATCATTCTTGAGCTAAACGAAAACATTACTTCCCAAGCAAAAGTATAAAGACATTATCTACATGATATCATAATTTTGGTGAAAGCTAGCAGAATGCCCTTTCGTCTATTCTTCCAAAAGAATCGCTTTGGTCCTTTATGTTATATATGCATATCTCAAACTGGGCAATCTGCACATTTCTAGTTCTTACCTCTAATTTGTAATTAGTTTATAAGAGTCCGTTGATTTATGGTGTGTCTCTCTCTCTCTCTAATATATACATGGAAAGGTTCTAATGAGAGCGTCTTTATTTTACGAGAATGTGGGAACATCATTTTACAATAGTGAATTACATTTGATAGTGTTGTTCATCATGTGGTACTAAATCAGAGATGTGGACAACTTTCGTCTGTCACGAGCCAAGTCGCATGCGATAAGGGTGGTGTTATGTTTTCATAGAGTGAATGTGTTCTCGTTTGAATCTCCTATATATATATTTGATGAGTCAAAATATGTGATAGATCAATCCCAACCCAAGCCATCCATTTAATTAATGATACAAGGGTAAAATAGTAATTATAATAATAATAATAACTAAGCAAATAAATAATGATTCTAATCCAAATCGGTTACACATGCTAATCAAACATTCTTATATAGGGTGTGGTTCACGTGAGATCAAAGGTTTTTCGTGAGACCCGTAAGATCAATTTATGTTTATTGATCAACTTTATAAGTTAATGATCTAATGGTCTAAATTGTACGGTGACAATTTTGTGATTATTGAGAAATCTCGTGGCATTTATGAATGTTTAGATTTTCAGATTGTAGATCTAATCTAAGGGTTGAGAATTGGTCTTACAGGTCTCACGAAAAACCATTAGTCTCACATGATCCCAAGTCTTCTTAAATATCTTCTAACTTGCAATAGAAAAACACCTCTTTATTTAGAAGTTGAGATTTTCAACGGATTCTCGTCCATATAATTTGAGGTTCGATGTAAACATGGTGCCGAACATGGAACAAAGGACTCATTTCTTCTCTACTACCAGATTTGTCACCAATAGTTTCGCCAATAAATTGAGGGAGGTAGGTTAAAGTGCACGAGACAAATGTGGTTTTCTATGGAGGCCGGTGGATCATAGTGGAGGGTAGAAGAGAAGACAATCATCATTTTCGATGGAGGCACCAACTTTTATATTTCCAGATTTGTCTAATCGAAGTTGAAGTTCAAGTGTTTTGTTTAGCTTTAGATTTTAGAGGGTGGATGGCCTAAGAAGATGGTTGAGTTTGGTTTTTGGAGAACAATGGTCGATTATGAAGAACAGGTGTACACAAGGTGAACAAACAAAGCGTGTCCCTCGGTGGTTCACAATCTACATCCTCCTCAACCATTAGTATCCACCCATCATTTTTGATCGATCATCTGAAGCTGCCTCTCTTGTTTTAGCCTCCCAAAGGCAACCATCATGAAAAAAAATGCAACAAATGACCCATTGATGTCTAAGGTTTAGATATAAAAGATGAATAGGTTTTGGATTTTTATTTAGCAAAAGTTCAATTTTTTTTAATTTAGATTAAGGTTTTGGATATAACTAGTGTTTGTGTTCAAGTTTTGTTTTGATTTTGGGGTTGGAAAAGGGTAGATTTGGTGTGGTATCAAAATTATTATAATGAATTTGCAAAAATTGTTTATTTATGTTATCGAGTAAATAGAGTTTATGTTTATGTTCTTGGTGTTTTTAGAATAAATATAGAGTTTATGTTTACTTTGTTCATGTGTTCACAATTGCCTTATTGACTGTGTTTTAACCTTTATTTGTTCATAGACTACAAACTTAGTTCTATTTGTGCATACCATGTGAATGAGAGAATAGAGGAGGAACAAGATTTGCAAAATACCTATAATACCCTTTACTTAAATTGTAATTCAAAATTACCGAAACTATAATTCTTGATTTAACCATGAATTAATATGATATGTGGTTTATATTGGATCTGAGTATCTAAAAAATTAGAAGGCTTTGCTATAGACATACATATGTGTGTGTATATATATAGGATCGGGTTCACGTGAGACTAAGAGTTTTTCGTGAGATCCGTAAGACCAATTTATGTTCATTGATCAACTTTATAAGCTAATGATCTAATGGTTTAAAGTTGCACGATGACAATTTTGTAATTATTGAGAAGTCTTGTGGCAATTTTGTGATTATGAATGTTTAGATTGTAAATCTAATCCAAATGTTGAGAATTGGTCTTACGGGTCTCATGAAAAACCCTTGGTCTCAAATGATCCCAAGTCTCTTTCTCTCTCTCTCTCTCTCTCTATATATATATATATATATATATGAATGAGTAAAGTTCATACGAGAACAATAACTAAATAAGACAATAAGAAAAATGTCGAATCACATGTAATTTTACACTAAAATCACATGTGACATGTGATTCACGTGACTTTGGACCCACTCGCCACACACCCATGTGTCGTCTGTTAGTGTAAAATCACATGTGATTTTGCACTTGATTTGACCGTTTTTGTATTCTCTTATATTGTTACCGTTCTCGTTTGAAATCCCTCGTGTGTGTGTATGTGTGTATATATATATATATATATATATATATATATATATGGGTCTAATCAAATGAGAATTGTTTATTTGTGGTAACTGTGAGATCCAACATGAACTAATCATTCAGGATAATTATTATAATTTCTTAAAATAAGTAGAAGGGTAAATTAGTATATTGTGTTGAATATTCAATTTACTTTAGTTAGTTTAATATTCTAATTTTGAAATAGATGTGTGTGTGTGTGTGTGTGTGTATTAGAATGGACGAGATCACCACATGTGACCCTTTTTCCCTATCACCGGCCAAAACGTGTTTCCTCTTCGGTGCGACACTTTACACCGATCCCTTTGCCCAACACCGTCCGACGCCTCCTTCTCAGCCCATCTCCGGCCACTGGCCACCATGCTTCTTATTCTCTATCCATCTCCAACCACCGACCATTATCTCCTCAACTCTCACTGATAAGCATTGATTATTCAATGCATAAAGTACCCAATTATTTACTTATTAGGTAGTTTATTTTCTTTTATCCCAACATTGAGTCATTTTTATTACTTTATTTTCCATTTGTTTATACTTGGAGCTAAATTGAATGATTAAATTGTCTTTACACCATTTGAGTAGAAGTGATTTTAACTTGGAAACAAATGCTACAACATTGATCTGTTATAAAACAGCCCTTTTGGAGAAGTGCTTAATGATTCAGCTGCCGAATTAGAATGAAGATAAAATTATGCTGATCTCTTGGCTAATAACCATTATATTTGGAGAAGGGGTTTTTGGAGGTTTCTTTTGTTCATGATGTGATATCCCCTTTTTTACTTTTGTCTCCCTTTTGAAAACATGGTTATTTCCAATATTTTTGTCTTGTTGCTTAAGTCTTTTGTATAAATAGGGACCTTAGTTGCTTTCATTTAATCATCCCACGAACATTTAACAATCAGATTTGTAGTTATTATGCTTATGCAAGTTAGTTCTTGAATTTTCTTTAAATATTGTTCTTCGTTATGAGTTGCTGCAGCATTGTTCTTACTTTATTTATTTTTCTTGTCATTTAATTTCCGCTCTTTATATTCAGTCATTTACTTTCCGTCATTTATATTTATGTCTTTACTTTTTGTTCTTTATATTTCATGTCATTTTATTTTTCGTAATTCTAATTTTAATAGCTTGGGTGTAAGATAAGGGGTGAAATGTTAAACCGAAGGAAAGTGGACGTTGTTTCGCACTATGGCGGATGTAAGGGGAAGCTATTGGGGTCCGGGCCCCCAACAATTTTTTTAGAAAGCCCAATTTTTTTTTATTTGTAGTTTATAATTTAATTTGGTTGGGTCCCCAACAATAAAATTATGAAGGCCCCCTCTCCTTAGTCCTTCTCCTTCACACCAGTCACCAGTTCACGCTTCTGCCTTCTTCAAGTTCGTCCCTTCCTTGTGTGCAACGGACTGCTTCTTCTTCTTTGGTTCTTCCCGCCAGCAGCCTGCTTCTTCTTCTTCGCTGACGGCCCTGCTGGGCGCTGGCTGAGTGGCTGTGGCTGCTTCTTCTTGCGGTGCAGAGTGCGGTAGCCGGCTACAGCCTATTAGGTTAATTTGGGTAAATTTTTTGATTTCTAAATTCCAATATTTAATTTTGAATGACTTTGATTTTGTTGTTTGGTATTTTGGTAAATGTTTTATGTTAGGTTAATTTTGTAATTTTATAGACAAATGGAAATGTTAGGTTAATTTTGCAATTTTGTATGAAAATGAAAATGTTAGGTTAGTTTTGCAAATGGAAATGTTAGGTTAATTTTGTAGGAAAATGGAAATGTTAGACAAATGGAAATGTTAGGTCAATTTTGCAATTTTGTGTTGAAAATCAGTATGCAAGACAATTAAAGATCAAGTGTTATTTGTGAATTATATGATCAGGCAAAATGAATAAATCCTAGTTGGTAAGTCTCCTTGGGTTCTCATCTTAAGAAGAGTACTAAAAGATTAAAGCATAAGCCTTAGAAGTCACTCTCCACCACATCATTGCATTTCAGTAAGCAGATACTCAGTACCACACATGATAAGGTAAATAAATAAGTCATATTCACTCAACAAATATAAATTGTAGGGTCAATGTCTAGCTTACTTCAACCGCATCAGTTATCTTTATTTGGTTAACTGAACAGTTTAAGCTGAAAATGAAAACCCGAAACCTTTTTTGGTTCGGACGAATTGTTCGGTTTCGAAAAAATTTCGACCCTCTTAAGTGTGCCCCCAACCATAATAGTTTCTAGATCCGCCACTGGTTTCGCAATAACAATGTTCCACTATTTCATTCAAGTTTTTATAAAAACCAAGTACACTTATTGACGAGTTGATCACTTTGAAAGTGTTAAAGTGCCATGGTCTTAGAGATAAGTCATTGAATGCACGTCCACTTGAATGATATGAGAGGGAGACTCAAAGAGATTTGTCATTTATGTCTTTCAAAATTAACTCCCGACAAGTTG